CAAAACCTGATCCAAACCTGACCCAAATCCTGATCCAAACCTGAGTCAAACCCTGACCCAAATCCTGATCCAAACCTGAGTCAAACCCTGACCCAGATCCTGATACAAGCCCTGACCCAAATCCAGTCCAATTCTGATCCAAGCCTTGAGTCAAACCCTGATCCAAGCCCTGACCAAAGTCTTGATCTAAACCCTACTCCAAGCCCTGATCCAAGCCCTGATCCAAACACCGATCCAAACCTGATCCAAGCCCTGGCCCAGCTCTCCAGAGGCAGCTCTGGGCCCAAACATCACCTGAAAAACTCTGGCTTTGAAACCGTTTTTATGGGGAAATTAAATACAAGTTGTGACTTGTTGAAAGCTTGGGGTGATTGAGTGCAGGAGCTGCAGGTTTTCACCTCAGGGACTCCCCCAAACCCAGCCCTCCTGCCCTAAAGCACTTTGTCCATAAACCCTGAGCCAGGGGACAAAACCCCACAGCAGCAGCAGGGCCCAGACAGCTCCAGTCCCACCCTGGTCCCACCCTGGGTTCAAACAGCACCCAAACCCCTCCATAAAAACACAAATCCCCCTGGATTTACCCCAAACCCAGAGCAGCAGAGCCCAGACAGCTCCAGTCCCACCCTGGGCTCAAACAGCACCCAAACCCCTCCATAAAAACACAAATCCCTCTGGATTTACCCCAAACCCAAGGGCTGCAGCAGCCCTGGAGCAGGAGCTGCTCCGTCAGACACAACCCAAGGACTTCCCACAGGGAATCCAACCCAAATTATCCCAGGATACAAAAACACAAAAAGCCTCCCAGCACCCTTGGAAGGAGCTGAAATAAATCCCAGAATTTCAAAGCTGGGCTGGAAGAAGGGGAATGATCCTCCTCCATCAGATCCAAATATTTGGATAATATTTGGGCTGTTTGAGCTCAAGGGAAACGAGCTTTCCCTCTCTGCAAACATCCAAACAAAAACTGGGACAAACACATGGTTTTGTCAGCCTCCTGCTCCTCCTGGAGGGATCATTCAACCCCAGGGAAAGTTTTTTTGGGAATGTTCCATGTGTCTCACATGGAAATCCCGGGAAAAACAACAAATCTGCAGCAAAGGCCAAAAAAAAAAAAATCCCCAAACAAACACAAAAAATCCAGATTTATTCCGCAAGAAGTCCCCTGACTCCAGCATTCCTGCAAGGAGCATCCCAATTCCAGCTCCAAATGTGGGGTGATGGCAAAGAAAAAGAGGGTAAAAATGAAAAGTAACATTAAAAACTCCCTGAAAACGGTGACCAATTCCAAGACTGGATTTTTCTGGGTGTTTACAAAGCCTTCAGTCCTTTTCCAGCTAAACAATCCCCTTTTATCCACTCCAGCTGCAGCATCAGCTGGAACGAGCTGAAATCCCCATTCCAACAGGAGCTGCAGCTTTGCCAAGTGAAATTTTGCCATTTCCACGTTTGCCAAACTTTGCCTCTCCTGGGGGAACCCGGGAGCCTCAGCTGGGTTTGGAATAGGTCAAAAATGGGGGGATTTTCCTGCCAAAACTGCTGGGGATACACACTGAGATATTTTAGGAAAACAGCTCTGGAAGGAGAGGAACCTTTGGAATATTCTGGTGTTGTACCAGATCCCGTGTTCAGCTCCCACTCCTTCCACTTCTCAGGTGTTTTTAAAATTCTCCAGGAGTCTCCAAAGCCCCTGTGACTGGGTGGGGAATGGAATTAAATCCCTGGGACATAAGGGATTTAATTCCATTTATCCAGCCCCAGCCTCGTTTCCCCTCCATGGAACTTCAGACCTGGATCAAATGAAGTTTTGACTGTAGGTAACAGGGAATGAGTGACATTTAGAGCTAATTCCCAAGCAGGAAAGGTTCTCTGGGAGATAAGGGAAAAATATCAACAAACAGATTGCAGAGACAAAGCTGGAGATCCCTCAGAACCAGGAGGAATTCTTCCAGCCAGGAAGCCTGTGGATAAACATCCTCAAACACAGATCCAAAGGCACAGCAGAGGCATTAAAAACCAGATAAACACGGACCAACAGGCAGAGCTTGGTTTAATCAGGGCACTTTAATGAGGATCCGCAAATTCTGCTGTCAAAATTCCTCTGTCAAAATTTCACGGTCAAAATTCATCCCTGAACACAAGCACAGCAGAAAATGCCTTCATTTGCTCTTCCTCCTGCATTTCTGGTCAAGATCCTCCCAGTTTTGTGCCACCCAGCAAAGCAAAGTGTGGGAATTCTCTGCTGAATCCCAGCTCCAGCTGGAATTAAAAGCTTTTTTTTATTTTATTTTTTTTTTATTTTTTGAGGGAAAGGAAGCATAGAAAAGCCCAGCCCTGCACCTCACCCCTAGATCCTTTCTAAATTTTAACTTTGTACTGTTCCTCCAGGAATTCAGCCAGGGAAGCCCTGGAGCTGCAGGACTCTGTCCTGCTCCAACCCAGAGCCACAAACCCCCAAATCTCACAGATTTTTGGGCACATCGGATGCAGTTTTATCCCTGCGGCCCAAACCCCTCTTCCAGAGGGTCTGCTTCCAGCATCTGGGGAAATCGGGAGGATTTCTTTGCTTCCCTGAAAGCCTCAGCCCCAAGGAAAGGGCTCCTCAGCCCCATTGCTGCCCTGACACCCCCAAATACTGCCCTGACATCCCCTCAGCCCTGACAACCCCCAAATGCTGCCGACACCCCCCAAATGCTGCTGACACCTCCTCAGCCCTGACACCCCCCAAATACTGCCCTGACACCCCCCCAAATACTGCCCTGACACCCCCCAAATTCCCCCTCAGCCCTGAGATCCCCGCTCAAACCTCTCCCTGAGCCATAGAGAAAGGGCTCCTCAATCCTATCTCGCCCCTCACGGCCCCCTCAGGAATCAGGAAGGGGCTCCTCACTCTCCTCTCAGACCTCACAGACCCCTCACTCCCCTCAGGGCTGAGGAAGGGGCTCCTCACAGCTCCCTTAGCCACGGGGAAGGGGCTTCTCATTCCCCTCGCCCCTCACACTTCCCTCACGGCTGAGGAAGGGGCTCCTCACTGCCCTCACTCCCCTCAGCCATTGGGAAGGAGCTCCTCATCCCCTCACTCCCCTCACACCTCCTTCCCGGCTGAGGAAGGGGCTCCTCACACCCCTCAGCCATTG